AAGTCCGTCAGTCAAACAAAAATACGACGAATTGAATAATAATAATAATAATAATAATAATAATAATAATAATAATATCGAAACGAGCCAAGCCCAAATCATACGAACTGAGATTTTTAATGATATGGGAGAAAAGGCTCTCGAAAAATTAATCGCTGCTCTCGAACAAGCGATTAAAAACAAAAATAAAAATGAAGTTGAAAGCCAAAGCAAAAAATTACAAGAGTTTGTGAATAGTCAAGTTGATTACAAAAAATTGGCTTATGAAAAGAAAAGAGATGAAGTTCAACGATTATTAGACCAAGCCAAAAATTATTCTACTCAAAATAGTCAAAATAATGAAGGATTTTTCCGTCCTAATAATCCGCTAATGTGGGTTTCAGGAGTGGCAGTAGTGGGTATAGTGGCAGGAGCAATATTAATTATTCGTTCACGAAAAAGAAAAGCAGTAGAATAAAAAAAAAAATCTTTTTCTTGCTTTCGAAACAGCAATCAGAAATAGCAAGGCTGGAAAAGATAAATGAGGAGAAAATAATAATAATATGCGAACCAGAACTCAAGAGGCAAGAAATATTGCTGTAAGCAAAAGAGAAATTAAGCAACCACCAATTACTTTTCGTGTCAAAGCCAAACAAGAGGAGCCAAAAATAATTAATTTAGAGGTTTATTTAGAAAAATTGACGGCCCAGTTAAGCGATGGGCGAGAATTAAGTATTCCTATTGATTGGTTTGCTAAGTGGGGAGTAAAAGGAATTAACGCGAATAAATTGAAAAATTACGAGATAAAAAGAGGAAAAAACATTTATTTTCCGAACATAGATGAAGTGCTGGGGATGGAAGTTTTTATCCATGGTTTTGATGCTCCGTGTGAATAATTTATGCCAAGTTGAAAGATAAAGGGTTATTGATGTTATTTTAAAGTTAATGATTTAATAAAAATAAGCCTGCTCATATTCATATAGAAGTTGCGTGCGGCGAAATAGAGTTTTGATTGGAACCAACTGACACTAAATCAAAGGACGAAATAAGGATAAAAAAAATTAAAGGACGAGTTTCGGAGCAGGAGCAAAACGAAACTGAAAGAATTGTAAAAAAGAATAAGGATTTATTTTTAACTGAATGGAAAAAACGAAAAGCCAAAATATTAAAAAGAAAAGGGATTAAATTATCAGAGAATAGCCGAAAAATTAATTATGGATG